CTAATATGTCATGTACAAATCCTTTCACCCGTTCATATCGTGCAAATATACCCGTGAAATGGATAGTGACAAATATACCCGTGAAATGGATAGTGACAAATAGAAAAGATTGTTTTGGAAAAAGAACGACTTCTGAATTGCGAAGACCTGATAGCAGTGATTAGTTAAACATCACAGGGACTAGACTTTACCTCGACTACTTTTTTTTTAATCATCTTCTGCTCTCATTTCGACTAAGCACTCGAATTCTTTAGACTTTACGTACTTTCTCACTTTATCGTAACTAAGTGTAGAGGCGCGTGTTTTTGGATCTTCAAGGCGTTCTCCTACGACTATCTTTTTTACACCACTTAGTTTAAAAATCAAAAGACAGTTCGACTGGATGGACTTCGATTTCGCAATATTAATCTCTTCCTACTTTAAATCGTTTTCCTCCATCTTTGTTGACAACAAGGAGAGCGGGTAAATATCCCAAAAACCAAACAACAGAAACGGTTTAAAAACTTCTAAAATTGGTGGATTTTATTGATTATTCGATAATAACTTTTACATTTTTTACTTGTCTAATTCGTCTTGTTCAGCGATTATAGTTAGGGCAAAGCCCCTTGATCTGCATCCATCCATTATCGAAAATATCAACCACATCTACAACAACATATTGATAACGTTTATTGCTTCAAGCACGCAAAGTAGCTTAGATTTTGAGTCAAAAAAATCTTAGCTGATACAAATACTTGTATCTTTTTAAGATAATATGAATAAATAATTTGATTGATTATCGTTAAATTAAATTCAATAATGAACACGTAGTTCATTATATGTGATTTTACATAGCACGTGTAGGAGTAAGGAACCTGTCATTGTTTATCCAGGATTAAACCATCCATTATTTTCCCTTACATAAYATGAACAATATAAGAGAAATTGAAAGGAGAAATCAATCAATTTAAAGTACCTTGGTGAAGAGGACCTTGCTTTGTTGCTTCGAGATTCTTTTCCAAGTGCTCAAGTTTTGAGGCTCCAAGAATAACTTTGTCTGGAAAATAAGTGATGGTATTAGATTAGATCTAGACATTAGATAGCGGCCCTTCCCCTTCAAATCAGGAAAAACGTCGCAACGTCCTTGATATTCCATGCTAACGTACATTTCCAGTGACTTACCACCATGTTGTCCAGACAACAAAGAATGATGGTAAATCCATCTTAACGAAGCATCGAGTACACTGACAGCACCTTTACCATAGACTTCATCAAGCTTACTTTTCACTTTCTCAACTGTATTGAAAACAGGTTTGTGCCAGTATCGGTCTTGGTATCTAAGACACGAGAAACATCACTCGATATTTGCATGAATGCTTTACTCATAAATGTAAAAAATATTATAAAACTTATTAATAATGCATAAGCTATTGCTCCAATAAGGGCTGACCATTTAATCAGGTGATTGACCTTGTAAATCTGATACAACCACTAGTGTTGTATCAGATTTACAACACGGTCGTCACCATTGAGACAACACAACACTAGCAAAGGTCTCAGTTTTAGTGTCGCATCATAGACCTTCACTAGGTTTTGAACCAATCAAAGACGGATAACAGAACTCGCTTATGCAACAGATGGCTTGCTTTCCATGTGGGATGGATAATTATTCAAAATGTTCTGTGTTGCAGTAAATTGCACATGCTTAATAGGGACTAAACTCAGCAGTTACCTTATTTGTCATTTTTCATCATTTATCTCACTGTAATTCATGTTAATTTGTGTTGGAGTTTTATAAGTCGTTTACAACATTCGCGTCCGTGTTGTATGGGAATTACAATCTCTCGCTTGCGGCTCGAGATTGTAATTCCCATACAACAAGGCCGCTCATGTTGTAAACTATACAAGCAGTTTAAAGAATGTAGACATATATTTCTTATGAAAACAGAAACAATCCTTATGCGCACAAAGCAACAAAAAAGAAAAGAAAGAAAGAAAAAGACTCAAGGATGTTAACACAGACTATCCCAGATTTAGAGAAACAATAGTTTAGGAAATACCATGAATGTCAGTAATATCACAACCACTTACACCTGCGTCCATGTTCCTGTGCCAAAGAATCGACCAACTGGTAGCTTACCATCCTTATCGGCGAACACATGCTTCCCTGTCAGGATTCCTCCACTGAGCTACAAGTTACAAACTAAAAGTTTTTACATGAACAAACACAAAACTAGCTTCCTGTCAATGGTCAGCTCTCTATTGGGGAGTGCTGATTGTATACTGCATTCTCTGAGTCTACCACAAAACGCTGAGCTCTCAATTTATTCAAGCCACTGCCACTGTTTTGTGAGTGCAGTTTCTTATTATACTCTATTCACTTATGAACGAGTATAAAACATTTATTACCTAAACTCCATTCAAATAATAAGACCAGACAACATAGTAGGGGCTGGCATCTCGTTTATTCATGCCTGATAGTTTGACAACTGAAAAGTATGCATTATACAAGTGTCATATACAAATTATAAACGGCATTGTTTGACGACTCCAGTCAAAGTCACTCATTGTGTTCCAAGGCTGGACGAGCTGATGGAGAACTAAGACTCGTGAAAAAAAACAAAAAAACAAAAAACTAAGATTTGTGTTAACGATGAGATGCCTTCGAATGGCAATTCATTCATGACTCACACCTTAAATACTCTGCATATGTAAATACCCATGGGATGGGTATTGCAAAACTTCGTTTACTTAGTCACTTATACTTAAGTGCTGACACGTGTCAATACCTCCCTGTATACATTCCGTACCGCTAATAAATATATTTTCAAACCCACCAAAAATCCCACAAATGTGTTTTCTTAATATTTTACTTACCGGACTGTATGCATAGAACCTCAAACCCAACTTTCTGATGCATGGAAAAAGTTCTTTCTCAACATCTCTGACAAGAAATATCTCTTTCAATGACACGTCACATGACAACTATGAGCTACAAGAAAACAGCTGAGCAGAAAAACTGACATTTTTAGTGATTTATTTGCAATGTATTCCTATGAGTAAACAATACACTTGGTGTACATCTGTTTCCCACCTGCAATAGTGACTGGCCATACTTTTAAAATGTCTATTGCACAATAAGAGTTGATTGAATATACCTGGTTATGGCACTGTACATCCCTTGGTAGACTGTGGGTGATACATAGCCATTGTTTTTACAGATATGATATATCTCTGTCTGAAAATAGATCATTYATGATAATAGTGTATATTATCCCCCTCCATTGAAACTACACAATCATAAGGAAACAAAATTCACCCTAACCCCAACTTTGTGATTTCTTTGTGAAAGAAGACATTGAAACACACTGGGACGTCGGTCCTACTTGGGATGGGAATAAGCAATAATGCCCATCACCTGAATTTTCTGATTCCAAACATGCATATAAACTCATGCAAGTCATTTAATACAAATATTATCAAACTTACGATCTGGACCTTTTGATATATTTTTGTTGGTAGCCCGTCATCACCACAGGACTCTGAGTTGCCTGAACTAGGGGTTAGTTTTAACCTTTTTGGGAAGCATCTGTACCACTTATGTAAGGGAATCCCTTTTTCAATATCACAGCTATGGTACTGGCATAAAGCTACTTACTACTTCCCAAGCTGCATAGTTTGATAGACCAAACTCCTTAAATTTACCCTCTTAAAAWGAAAAACAAAATAGAGAAGCATGAAACAAAAAGCTACTAAAWCTTTTTTATGTAACAGTTAAAACAATAAGCTAGCATTTAAAGTGATTAGCATTATTCAGCTCTTACAAAAAGCCTTCCAAAAAGATGCTACTAGAAAGCTGATACCTTTGTGAAGTTGATTGACAGCTTTTAATGTGTCCTCTATTGGTGTGCTATGGTCAGGAGAATGAAGATACAAAATATCAATGCTGGTTCTTTGAAGCCTTTCAAGAGATGACTTAAACTGGTCAACAACACCATCATATTGCAAACCTTCAGCAAATAGAAAAATACAAATAACGTATTTAATTAAATWAGTAGCAATACTTTACAGTGAAAAACATTTGTAAATGTTTGTCCTCCTCCCTCAAATCTAGATCTACATGATAATATCACTTTTATTAGTCACACTAACCTTGCTTGCTCCACATTGGGTTGACCTTGGATGCTRTAACAACCTAATTACATACAATATAATACACCAAAATATTACATTTATATAATATAACAGTCTGTATCACACATGAATATTTAGTCACTCAATTATGAATTACTAAGAACAAGCTGTAGCAAGTGTAATCATGGAATGTAGTAACTATTTTATAAGCACCTTTTGGTTTCTAAGCAACTCCATGTTTCCCATAATAGTCTCTGACTTTCCATCTGCATATCTGACAATATTAATCATGAAATAAATATATCATTGCTTGATGCAATGCCTGCCAATGGATTTAAGACAATCCCTGGTGCAAATGCTGGCTAGGATCCTACTGGGATCTTGACATGATACTAGCTAGGATCTTGTCAGGATCCTGTGACTTGTTAAGGATCCTATTCCTACTTAGGATCTTATATAAGAATGTGTTTCTGYGTAAGATCCTATTCCTATGCAGGATCCTGCGCGGGTCCTAGTTAGGATCCTGTTCCTACATAGGATCCTGTTTAGGATCCCATTCCTAAATAAGATCCTAAGGATCTTACAGGATCCTGTTTAGGATTTGCATGTGTGTGCATGGTAACATGTTCCTCCTTCCTGCTCAAAATCAACAAATCTACCCCACACCAACCTATCAGACATTTAATACACTATAGTCAATGGGTAAAAGGTTCCAGGTAACTTACAGAGATGCAGTATCAAATTCATAGCAACCAGAATCAATGCAGAGTTTAACCATGGCATTTGCCTATTAATTCAATAGAATAAGGTACAAAGTTAATTCCTCAGTAAACCAGAGAAGTACCTAATTTCAACAAGGGGCCGTTTGGCGTGCGCATGCGCCAGTCTGTTGAAAATTCATTGAAATTCATTAGTGATTCACTTCAAGCGAGAAATTACAACGACACGAAGGACAATTTCCAAAAATGTTTTTGGCTGTTTTTGACCCTGAAATGTTCTGTCATGACTCAAGAACACTCATAAATAGTGTAACCTACAACGAGGAAAAACACTGGCGTTATTGGACTGATTGGGACCGTTTAAAATCTTATTTAA